CATGTTTCATTTGAGGCGTGCGTTGCCTGCCTTGTTTTATAGTATCTGGCATTGGGAACACAGGCGGAAAGATTTATGGGCTCAAGTTAATAGTAAAACAGCATATCACAGGCTCTATATTAATGTTCTCCTGCGCTGAACTAGCTGGCTCTTTCTGGGGGAATTTATGCGAGGATTGCTCGCTCGCTCTGTCGTTGCCGTAATGGTATTATAGGGTGGCCCGTTAGTCTCTGCGGGGGGAAGCAAAACAAGGATGCTGTTTCCCTCTCGGCTGGCAAATCAAAGGGAGAGGGGAAATGATGACTCCAGCAGCCACATCTGTGTACTAGCTGCACCTGCTGTGGATATTGGGAAATGGGGAGAGCAAATGTCAGAGGCACGAAGAACAGGGAAGGAAATGAAGGAGGAAATAACAGAGGAAGATAACGTGGTCTGTCTGCCAGTGGCCACGATTCAGGCTCGTGCAAGGCAGCTTGGCATCCTGCAGCTGCTCAGGGAAGTCGAATGGTGGGACTTTCTCTTGAATCCCATGCCGGGATTTATCTGCCCCGATGTGCGCTGCCCTTAGCCCATGCAGAGGGGCAGGGTTTGGGCTGAAGGTGCCATGGGAGAAAGCAGTGAGGGCAACTGGGGAGCAGTACTAATTTCATGAGTTCCTGTGGATGGTGAATTTATAGGGTGGGGGGGTCCCCCACCCTGGTGCTGATTTGGGAGGTGGTGAGGAGGGAAAGTGCGTTCTGGCTTTTCTGCAGGGAAGCAAGCTGCACGAAAGAGTACGCAGGTTCCCCTGGTCTGGAGGACCGCAGGGGAGAGGACTTATGGAGGCTTGTCCTAAAGACACCAGAAAATAGAATAGTATATTCCCTTTGTGCAGCAGAAAGCACCACTAGGGATGGAGGTTGCAATCATGATATTCTTGGTCTTCTCTTCCAGAGGCTGAGGTAGCAAGTTAATGGTAAGATGAGAGCTCAGTTCATTGCTCTTGGTGCAGGGCAAGAAGACATTGATTTGTGGTAAGCCTGGAGCTCATATGCGTGCAAGGAGAGTCAGACCCCATCGACTGGCCATGCAATATGATGCTGTACAAGTCCATGCTGGGATATAGTTGTGCTATTAGAGCAGCAAATGTTGAATCTTAGGAAGCTGAGGCAAAACAACCCTCCCAGTGTTAATATAACAAAATCATTAAAGATGAAATGTTAAGTGGCTCCTTTGGTCAGAGACTGTCTTGCTGAAGATAAATAAGCTAGATCCTGTTCCCGTGTCTGGTCAGCTCCATGTCTCTGGAGACCAAAGTCAGTTTGGGGGTGGTTTGGAGGGTGCGTATGGCTGCTGGTAGTGAAGGTAAGGCATGAGGACATTGGTGGAATTGAGGCCATGCGAGGAGGCTCCGTGCTGCTGCTCTTGCTGTGGGTGCTTTAATTCGCTTTGCAGCTTTTGACTGCTTCATGACCCTGTACCCTCTTTAAAAGGCCTTCCTGTGCTCATTTGAGAGCTTTGCGTTTATGTGCCATGTCCAGGTTTATTCTGGTCCTGCTTTGAGAGATAATGAATGAGCGTGGACATAACAGCTGAGACAGTGCATGGCCAAGTGCTTGGCACCTGGGATGTGGCAACTCCTGGGGTGACTTGCCAAGAGGCACCTGTCTGTGTCGCAGGCTGTTAGGAGGCTTGACAAGAGACAGAGGAGCTTAATGTGCCACTAAAAACCTTGGCACCAGGTTTTTACATCCCTGACCCAGGAAACAAAATTTCAAGCCCCTTATATATTATCCTTATGGGGTAACACATCCTATTCTTCACAGCCTGAATCTGTTGTGCTTTCCAGTGGCAATGTTTCTGATGCGCTGGCACAAGGGAGCACCCATTTCCATGCCCAGGCTGAAGCCCAAAGGTACCTTTTGCACCTAAACTGTGCTCGCACCACAAAAGTGTTTGTGAACAGCCAAGGGGTGAAGAGGAAATTATTCCAACTCCTAGCTAGCTTACTTTTCCTCAAGGCCTACATCTGATTTTGCAACCTGCCTTTTCAATTCCCATCTCCCATGGCTAAGCCTCGGTTTGAGTGAATTGGCTGAATTCTCACCTCAGCAGGCTCAGCTCTCAGCTCGTCACACTTGTCTTAAAGCATTTGTCACCTCCCTGTCCTCTCACTGCTTTACAGCTGACCACCACCTCCCAGGCTTGGGTCTGGGAGCACAGGGACCCAGACTGAGCTAAACCAGGTCTAGCAGAGCTCCTCTGCTTGGGCTCTGTGCTTCAGTGCCGGTGCCTTACTGCTTGGGTGTGGATTGCAGTCCCCAAACCAAGGCTCCTTGTTGGTGCTAAATAAAAGCAATGTGAGATTTGGGGGCACGCAGGGCTTCCACTGAACTTGCTGAACTTGTCAGCACTCAGCACTTTTGAAAATCAGGCTGCACCTAAGTTCTACCAGGTTTGTAGGGTTTAGAAACCTGAATTGAAGTTAAAACCTCTGGTGGGAGGGGTACGCTAGGAATGGCTTGGTACAAAACAAAAAATTTCAAGAAACTGTACCTAGGATATCCTCACTGGGATGGAAGAGTAAAGTCAGAAAGGAACAGAATGGGTTGACAGTTTTAAGAATTATATTATTGCAAACAGGCTGCTTGTGTATTTTAGCAGGAGTGTGAGTGGGGAGAAAGCAGGGTGCTGGCAGGCTGGTGCAGATAGCGTAGAGTGTACATCAGGCTGTGAAAATGCATATCCAGGTGAGGGTTTTGCAAGAAGCTGTGAAGTTATAAATGGGAGGAGATAGCTGATTTTGCTGATATTCAGCCTGGAGGTGACAAAGAGACAGATTTCCACTCTTGCCCCAAATGGCAAATTTATAACATGCAGAAAATTGACTTGCAATGCCAGTCCCCTGGCAGCTGACAAAGTCTCTGAGCCCCACATGTGAAGTTTACTCTGGGAATGCTTGGTAGCTTTGGTGGCAGGTAGGATGGTTTGGACCTAGCTTGGGAGCTTCACTGTCTGATGGTGACATGTCAGAGAAATACAAAGGCAGGTTGTTAAAAAGGCTGTGCCTCCGAGCACACACTGTTGATAAAGAGAAAAGGGATACAAGCATCCTCCTCCAGCTTTTAGCATTACTTTCTGGAGCCGAGCACTGAGCAATGTAACATTTTTGCTCTTTTGTCAGTTGGCAGAGGAGTTGTGCTGCTATGCATAATACAGGAGCTTTAAAAGCAAACATGCATGCAGCGGAGGTGTTGGAAAATCCCTGTAGCCATTGGCTTCTGAGAGTCTTGTTTACAACCACAGAAATACATTCATGTTGCTGCTGCTCAACTTCTGATCATACATGATTGAAAGATGCTACTTAAATAAACAGCCTCATCCGTATAGAGGCTTGTTTCATATTCTTATGGACAACCTGGTGGGTTTTTTTTGTTTGTTTGTTTTTTGTTTGTTTTTTTGTTTCACCCCCTCTGGAAGATACTACTGTGGCGTTTGCTATGACAGCTGACGTACGCTGCCTTCTGACACTGATAGTGATCACCAGTGATGTCAGGGCAAGATGAAAGGCTACAAGAGAGGGAACAGGAGCTCTCTGTTCCTGGAGTGGTGCTCAGGAGTTCTGAGGTTTTTGGCTGGGAAGTGACTTTAAATGACTTTTAAATGAGTAATAAGAAACCTTATAAGCCTGACTTTTGTGCTTTGCCATTTGGGTGGATATTCTGCGCTTGATGCAGATGGAAAGAGTAGCTCCAGGGGTCATGTAAGGGTAAGAGTAAATGGGGAAAGATACCTTTTTGGAGAAAGGAAAAGGTTTTTGTCATTCATATCAGTGAGAATAACAAAGACAAAGTGACCAAACATAGGAACTGGCAGACTGCATCATCCTGTGCTCTGTCTGTCCTAGTAGCCACCAGCAGAGACAGCGACAAGGATATTCACAGTAGGCAGATGAAAAATAATCTGCCCCCCATCAACATCCTTTCCTAATCCATAATAGCTAGAGGTTGGTTTCAACTCTGCAAGCACAGGGGTTTATATCCTTCCCAACATGTTTACTAGCGTTAGCTGTGATTGTTTGAGCTGTTCTAGTTATCCACACAAATGTGCAGCCTTTGCTCTCCATCTCTGCCCTACCATTTCGGGCTGGTGAATGGAGCTGCATTCCCTGGGTTTCTCTGGGAGCACATCACTGAAGAGGATGTTCTCTGTCCTTGATATTTCCCAGTCTTCAAATCCACCCTGATTGGCAGCCAGCCCTCTAGCATCTGCTGGATTGCTTTCAAGGTTCAGTGGGATTATTTTTTTTTTGCTTAACTCTTTCTGCTCTTTTCTAAATTTTACACTTCATAGAGGAAATGGGGCTCACACAGATTTTTCCATTCCTGAATCATAAACCTAGGAAAAGGTATTTCTGGAAAAAGTGTCATGGTATCCAGAGGAGATAATTCAGAATAGAGGAGAAAATAATGTTTTAAAATAAGCAAGATGGTAATTATGTGGTCAGGTAACTTCTAAAAACATGTCAGAAGTTTATTGTCAGAAAATCTTCCTGAGAGCCATTTGCAGTCAGATATGAAAACAGCTGGGGTTGTCATGGTGTGGTAGATCATCTCTGGTTAGGCTAGGGCTAGAATTATTGCCAAACAATTTGACATGGCTGTACTTTCAACCTCTCATAAGTTGGTAGGAAATTCTGTGAAAGCCCCGTAGCAAGCAGTCTGGGATTGTATATCTGCCATTAGTTCAGCCCCTCCAAAGCCTCTGCTGTTTATTCACTTGCTTGCTTTAGTACACGCTGACACAAATGAGCATCCTTGGATGAATTCCTGATTCCATTTAAGTATTGCTATCATCAATGCTAGGATTATAGCCTGGAGTTCAGAAACATGAGGATGGGTTATACAAGCAAGCCCTCAACTGCATGGCTAGGGAGTCAGGTCCCATCTGAATTACAAGGCCCTGAACGTTATCTGTGGGTGACTTACAATCTTTTTTTGTTTGCTGTTGTGTGTTGCTGTAGAAGTGGAACACAGTTTCCAGGCTAAACGACAAAATACGCTTAAGCCATGGAATCCAACCAGGAATCCTCGCTCTTCCTGGTGAAGATCTTGGAGGAGCTGGACACCAAGCAGAATACTGTTTCTTACCAGGACCTCTGCAAGTCCCTGTGTGCGAGGTTTGATTTATCCCAGTTGGCCAAGCTCAGAAGTGTGCTGTTTTACACCGCTTGCCTGGATCCTAATTTCCCAGCGACTTTGTTCAAAGACAAAATGAGATGCACTGTAAACAATCAGCAATCAAAGAAAATCATGGTTGCAGCAGATATAGTAACAATATTCAACCTCATACAAATGAATGGGGGAGTGGCCAAGGAGAAACTTCCAGTTGCAAGGCAGAAAGTGAAGAAGAAAGAGTCCTTTGAGTCCTGTAGATCTGACACGGAAATCTGCAACATGGCAGACTGCGTGCCCAACTGCGAGCTGAACGACCAGGAGTTTAACCGGGGCTTTCCAGTCAGAAGGTCTTCAAAATGCAGAAAGATGGACTGCAAAGACTGTCAACAGTTTGTCCCCTCATCAGAACCCAACTTTTTACTTGGCGTCAATAAGGAGATGAAGGGTCGGGCTGCCTCTCTGGACAGGCTGCAGGCGCTGGCGTCCTACTCCATCGCCACGTCTCCACCATGCGAGATGCAGAGTACGTACTTCCCCATGAACATTGAAAATGAATCTATTTCAGACCAGGACTCCTTGCCCATAAGTGCAGGCATAAAAGAAACTTTCATTTCAAATGACGAGCCGTTTGTGATGCAGTCGTGTGTCCAGAAAAGAAATATATTCAAAGAAGATTTTCATAATCTGATTACAATATCTCCCAACTTAATACCATCCAACAAAAAGCCAGAAGATGGACACAGAGAGCCTCAGAACAGGAAAGAAAGCTCTAAGCAGGCTTTCTTCAACCACAGCTTTGAAATGCCATACAGCAGCCAGTACTTGAATCCAGTTTATTCTCCTATACCAGACAAAAGGAGAGTGAAACATGAAAGTTTAGATGATCTTCAAGCTTCAACGTATTTTGGCCCAACTACTATTCTCGGGCCCCAGGACACCAAAAAGTGGACTGGAAAGCCAACCAAGCAAACTGCCTGGCCAGCTAAAAGCTGGAGTTTAAATACTGAGGAGGTACCTGACTTTGAACGATCATTTTTTAACAGGAAGCAGTCTGAAGAGAAGCCACGATACCAGAGTTCAAACAACGCATCTCCAAACTTTCCTTCAGCTGACAGGCATCAGTCCTACCTAAATGCGAAGGATCAGCAACCAATTATGCAGGCAAATTATGCTGTGAAACCAAATGGGCATAAACCCAAGGAAATTCCTTCCATTCTAGATGTGGAGAAACACGAGCCAGTCAAAAAATTTAAGGATAAAAGCATTAATTGTACTTCTGTTCAGATCTTAAGCATTGACAGGACCACAAGCGTTGGGACACAAACGGAGCAGCAAGTTCTGGACCACAAGAAATGCAAGGATTTGTGTGCGGCAGGCCAAGCCAAGTATGGAGAGCGGCACTCTCTTAAGCAATCGGACGATGACTCTGAAATTGTGAGCGATGACATCAGTGACATTTTCCGGTTTTTGGATGACATGAGCATCAGTGGGTCCACGGGAGTGATGCAGTCTTCATGCTACAACAGCACTGGTTCCTTGTCTCAAGTGCATAAATCAGACTGTGAGAGCTCGCCTGAGCACAATTTGACTAAAATCTCAAACGGGAGTGCCTGTAACAAATTGGATAAAGTGGTCCGGGCAGATATCAGTAACACAGATGATGAACTGAAAACCAGTGTCTGCAAATTAGTTTTGAGGATTGGTGAAATAGAGAAGAAACTGGAATCTCTTTCAGGTGTCCGAGAAGAAATCTCCCAAGTCCTGGGAAAATTGAGCAAGTTGGATCAAAAAATTCAGCAGCCGGAGAAGGTCAGCGTACAAATAGATCTCAATTCTTTGACAAGCGAGGCTGCATCAGATGAGAGTAACTCCCCACAGATATTTCAGTGCCACAATACTCCTCATGGAGGCAAACTAGAGAATAATTCAGAATGGTGCTGTTCAGATGCCAGCGGAAGTAATAGCGAAAGTCTTCGAGTAAAAGCCTTAAAAAAAAGTTTGTTTACTAGGAGGTCATCAAGATCATTAACAGAGGAAAACAGTGCAACTGAATCCAAAATAGCAAGTATTTCAAACTCTCCCCGAGACTGGAGAGCTATTACTTATACCAACCAAGTTGGCATTACGGAAGAGGAGATTAAAGAGAGAGATGGAGGTGAAAATAAGGACTGGCACAGGAAATCTAAAGAGGTAATTTCAACTCTAACTCACATTATAAGCATTTAAAAATAATCTAGTTATGAATGTCTTCCATAGTCATCACAAGCCTCAGGGTATGACAATACTTTGCCCTGCTATATTATGCCTGTCTTTATTGTTATCATAATTGAGTGATTTTGTATCTATATGTTCTTTCTTGGCAGCTGCAATATGGTCAAGTTGTTCCTTAGAAGCACTTTTCTTTTTTGAAAAGGGAGGGGGTTCAATGTGAGTAAGATCTTTGGAAGATGATGTTATTCTTCATCATCAGTGGTGATATAAGGAGGCTGGGTAATTACCTTGGTGAAAAGGGTGTGAGGAAAATTGAAATTCTGTAGTGGTTGTTTTAGAAGGGATATTTTGAAATTGCATTGTGATGGCTTTTATCAGGGAAGTATATGGATACTTAAGAGGCAACAAAATAGATTCATGGATCCAAATCCCTCAAGAAAAGAATCCTTGTATGTGTACCGTGAGAAACAAACTGTAGTTATGTTCTCTATGTCTGGTTTTCATGGTCATTTACGTGAGTCTTGAACCTCCTGATGAGGAAATGTAGCATAGCTGTGGTCTTGTTTTGGTCACTTGGAAAAACTCTGCCCATCCTTCCCAAGAGCTGCCCACTGCCTTCTTCACAGATTCCACAGGGATGGTGGCCGTCCTTGCGCTGGGCTCTGGTTCCTGCTCAGTTGAAACTGTGCATGGTGTGGGCGGTTGTTTCTGTTTCATGGACAGTGGAGAGGGTTGGGGGTCCTTCAGCCCTTTTGCCAGTCAGAACCACATGATGGTCATGCTGTGCCTCCTTACGGGGAGGAAGGAGGGCAGACAAGGGTTGAGAAAGGAGAGGAAGAGGTTTTATGGAAGTCAGTGCAGTTGGATGAACAAGAAACCATTAACCATGGGTTATTAACAGGTTGCAGAAGGGGCAGAAGGTTAATCTTAGTAAGCCCAGACCTTGGTTTTTCTGTACATTGATCTGCCCAGGATGAACTCCTGGCTTTGAAAGACCCTTCCTCACTCCTACAGTAGACCGTGGCTGACACTAGATTGGTACTACAGATGGTGCTGTGTCAAGGGGGTGCTACCTGGGAGCTTCTCATGAGACTTCTTCATGTTAAGATTTGGTCTGGAAACAGAAATCTGGAAGCCTGCATGGCATGGGGCTCTTGGCTTTTTCAGATCAACTAGGCTTTTCTGGATGTCAGGGCCATTTTTAGAATAGTTTTTTAACATGTAAACAGTACAAAACTTAAATTTCTTCTGTTGAATCAACTTTGTGTTCATGTTATGGTGAACAAGGAGTTGTGTCCATAAAATACTTCTTTGGTCTGGTTGTGAGAAGAGGGTGGGCAAATGGATCAAGGCCACCCAAAACCTTTGTCCTAGCTGGTACTTTTCTTACCATGGCTTAAGCGATATCATATGGTGAGTCTGACAGGAATATCTCTGTCCTTTGTGTTTAACCCCCTCATAGTCCTGTTTCTTCTCTCAAATTCTTTTGAACCCTATTGCAGGCAGACAGGCAATACGAAATCCCACAGCCACATAGACTCTCTAAACAACCAAAAGATGGTTTCTTGATTGAACAAGTCTTTAGTCCTCATCCCTACCCTGCGTCACTCAAGTCACACATGAAAAGCAACCCGCTCTACACAGATATGAGGTTGACAGAGCTGGCTGAAGTGAAACGTGCCCAGCCATCGTGGACCATAGAGGAATACACAAGGAATTCGGGGGATAAAGGCAAGATTGCAGCATTGGATCTACAAGTGAGTCCCATTTGTTTAATTTGAATGGTTTGACTGTGAATGGATGTTGCCAGAATATGCATTTAAGAAGGGATTTGGATGGCTCAGGAAGGAGCTATGCAGTGTTGAGCCTCTAATCTTGCTGATCCCTATCCGTCCTGGCCAGGGACAAAGAAAACTGTGGATGTTTGATTGCTGAATAGTGATCCTTGACAGGTTGGTGCTCCCAGCTTATTCTACAGTGGAGAGACGTCTGCTAAGCCATTGTGGTGTTAGTAGCTCTAAAGAAGAGTTTAGGGGTGAAGGGGTGCAGAGGTGAACTGGTCCCTAACTGCAGCAAGGCAGCGTGGTGCAGAAGCCGGCATTGCTACTTTTTCTTCTATCCTTGTTCTGTCTGAATTGTTCACAGAGAATTTAAGTTAGGGCTTTTCTATTTTGCTAGGAACATGAGACATAAAGCACTTGTAGAAGACGCTTAATACCACAACTATTTTTGAAACACATCATCGTTGCAACTTTGAAATAGCTGTTGGAAACCAGAGTCGTGTGAAGAGCAGATCAGTTAATGGTCTGCCGCCTTTGCATTTTAGTTCAGCTTGGAAGTGTGCAGGCTCTTCTGCAACAAACAGAGCAGAGCAAGTTACTGGGAGACAAATCCAAATTTTGGATTTAAATTTTCCCAAACTGTGGTGTATTTGAAATCACAATCTTGATATATAATGAGCTGCCCAAACCCAGGACTGAGTGCCCATGTTGGAAACCTCGTCTAGCTGGATAAACAAAAGACATGTTCTAGGAAGGAAGACATCTGAGCACAGGTTTGAAGAGGAAGCATCAAGAATGCTATTCAAAATGTGTAAAGACCAAACAAATGTTGCATATTTGGTCATGAAACACAAAATGCATCACATAATGAAATCCATACTGATGTGCAGATCACTGTGTATCATTTATATGCATTTATACAGCAGCATGCAGAGCCAGTGGGGGGAATGGTGCTGACCTCCAGGCATTTCAGGCTACTTGCACGTATGTGCATGCCCCAGAGCAGGGCAAGCTGCCTCAGCTAGCTACAGGCTTGGCAGCAGTTGGGGTACACTGACCTACAGCGTGGGGGTTATTGGCACCACGCTAAGACAGCTTCGTGACCAGCAGTCTGGGCCATGGAGCCGTACTCAAACAGGGAGTCTGCTTGTCTCCAGAGCTTGTCTGCCAGGGAAAGGTGGTGTGCAAGAGCCTGAGACTTGCTGCTCCACATCAGCTCTCGATCACTCAGTGCCAACGTGCCTAACCCAGCTCCAAACTCATCAGAGTAAGCCCTAGGACAGCATCAGGATACTGTGAGAAAGACTTGGATAGCCCAAGTCTCAGGACCCAGGCCACGCCTCAGGACCCCTTGTTGGCTGATTTGGAGTTAAAATAATCACCCACAGTGCTGTAGTGCTACTCCCGTGAGTGTTTGTGCAGGAATTTGTGCACAAAAAGTTCACCTCCAAGCTCAGCTCATGCAAACTTCCCTCTCCTCACTAGCCCCTGCTCCTTGCTGTGGCCAAAGCGCATTCGGAGAGAAACCAAATAGCACAGGGAGCAGCCTGCATCTTGCCTCAGCTGCCTGCTGCTTTTTGGGTCTTCAGAGCTTTAGAGGGCTTACTAAATTCCTAACCCTGGCATTGCAGACTGTATGCTAGAGTAGGAACGGGCCGAAAGAAGTTCCTCTGCAGCAGGCAGTCGCAAAGCATCCCTTACCTGCTGCGCGGAGGCAACAAGGGAGGTGATATTTGGGAGCAAAGCTCCCCTGGGAGAAGTGTTCTCCATCTACTCCTCGTAGGGCTGTTTCGTTCTCCATAAGCAGCTCTGCGCGACTGTGAGCAAACCAGAGAAATCAGCTTATTGCCATCATTTGTCTTTAGGATAAAGGTGATAAAACTTTACTGGTTTGATTCTCTCCCTCCAAAAGGACTGTCAGAATTACATCTACTCTGCAAAGCCCATGTCTAGACTTTATAATAGAGCTTACTGACAAACTTAAAAAATAGACACAGACTGATCAGTGGGTTTTTTTCCCAGTGATTAAGTTTATTAGAACTGAAAGTAAATACATTATGCTTTAATGAACATTCCTACGTCTGGCATTGAAATGGGAAAGGAAGCTGATTAACAGTAATGGGCCTTTTTAATAATGCATCTTCCTTCTGAAGTAGTTAAAAGGTCAATACCAAGGCAGAGAGGTCCCAAACTGTAATTTCCTTGAAGCATAGCATGGCTGTCTTTGGAGTTTTTCTACCTTTGTTTATTTAAAATTTCTTCTGGAACTTGACAAATCTGCTGGGTTTTCCTTCAAAAAAAGAAATTGCAAAACCAGCCAGGCCAAAGTTTGTCCCAGGTGTGGAGTCTGTGTGAGATCTCACCGCTTTGCCCTGTGTATGATGACCCACTGGGATGAAACATTGTCAGGCTGTTTTCCGATTTTTTTCAGAAGGCTGGAATTGGCCATTCAGAGCCCGAATGGTACAATCTCAAACTTGGCTGATGGTGTTTGTTTCAGCATACTAGTGCTATCGTAGAGATCTCTGTTAAATGATTGTAAAACTGTAGCTCAATTTTAATTGTTTACTTCTGGAGTAGCTATAAAATCACTTCTTGTAGGAGTTCTGTACATAAAGCAAAGGCTGCTTTCGGGCAAAGCAAGGTTTCAGCCAGTAGCTCGTGGCCACAAAATCTGAATTAGCCAATTAAAGGCTTACCCAAATCCCTCTCAAGTCAGCTGGAGTTTCTTTGTGCAGAGTCCAACGAGCTTTGGATCAGGTCCGTTACGAGCCCAGAAATGGTGTGTGTTAGGGTATTCTCACTGGAACATTTTTATGTGGAATCTTTTTCATTTTTTTAAAGAAATGGCCTTTTGGAGCCCCAGACACAGGAGACAGCTTTGAGGAAAAGCTGTCATTTTTCAAAATGTTCTTTCTGCTTTATTCTTTTCTGCTGGTAAGTGCAATATAATGCCTAGTGTTTTGGTTTCCCCCATTTTCCCTCCATTTTCCCTAACATAAAGGATGAAGGGAAAAAAACAAACAAGGTGGAAATGCAAAGCCTGAAGAGCTCAAATTCTAAGGAAGAAAAAACTGTAAGATAAAAGAAAAAAACGAAGAAAACCAAATGTTCAGATGGAGACACTGATAAAGTTCCCTAGGTTGCCTGTAATTTTCCAACCAATTCAGATTTCCTTCCCTATTTTTTTTTTTTATTTGATTACCTGTGTGGAGTGGAAGGGCAAAATCTTTAATTTCTTAAGCATACACTTAAAGTCACCTCTAACCCGGAGAGACTCAGACTTTGGCAATGAGCAGAGCATTACCTCCTGTGGAAATGCAGATTGTGCCATTGGGGTTAAATCATCTCATCTGTGGAGATGGTCCAGAGCAATGTGTGGTACCAAATCGTATGCCAGGTGTCCAGTTCCTCTTCTCCTCCTGCCCCTAAAACTGAGACAGCATTGTGCGATGCTCCAGGTGATTTTTCAGAAGGTGGAGCTGGAAGGAGAGCTCAAAGCTGAGGATCGCTCTGTCCTGGGTGATTTCATGGAAACCCACTTGCAACCCCTTTCCGTGGGCTGCTCAGCACTCGCTGCCTGCGGTTGTGTATTCCCATGCTGGAAGGAAGGACCGATGTCCCCAGGCGTTGCTGTTCTGGAGGGGATCTGCTAATTGCCCGTCTGGAGGGACTGGGTGCAAGATGGGGCTGGGCAATCGCCCCCCGCAAGCAAGTTATGGTAGCAAAATTAGGGTTAGCTTCACTGAATGTAGTGCTTGAGGAGTATATGTTAAGAACCCTTCCCATCAGCTGGACTTTAATAATTTAAAAATCAGTAACAGACTGGTAGTTGCTGACATCTCTGCTGTCTAGCAGATTAAAGAGAATTTATTTAAACGCCATCCAAGATGACGAAGTTTCTGGCAAATCAGAGGTACGTGAGGGATTTTGCAGTGGAATTATACTGTTACAGGAGTTTATTTTTTGCAGTATTTTGTTGCCACTTTCGTCAGCCTTGTGGAACTGGGACCAGGAGACGAAGGGATGTGAGAAGCGGCAATAACCCACTTTATCCTAACAGCAAACCCAGATGCAGCTGGGAGGCCTTCAGGCACATCTGCTTTATGTATTTATTTTATTAATGACAGATCCCAGACAATTAACAACTGTTTCCTTTTAATTTTTAGACTCAAGAATCTTTAAACCCAAACAACTTAGAATACTGGATGGAAGACATTTATACTCCTGGCTATGATTCCTTATTAAAACGCAAAGAAGCCGAGTTCAGAAGAGCAAAGGTTTGCAAGATAGCTGCCCTGATAGCAGCGGCAGCTTGTACGGTTATTCTGGTCATTGTAGTTCCCATTTGTACAATGAAATCCTGAACCTGCGGACAGACCCGTGACTCCCAGCCATGTGTACCTGAGATAGCTCATGCTGTGTTTCAAACGTCTGATGGCAAAACTGTTAGGAATTTGCTAAGAATGTTCTGAAAATATCCTGATGGAGAATGCTGTAAACGTAGGCAAAACACAAAACAACTGGAGAAACTTTTTTTTTTTAAAAGTATTATTTTAAATACCAGACTGTGTGGCAGAGTTAATAGGAACTCGGTTCAATTTTTATGCATTTTTAAAAGTGCAATATTTTTTTTTCCTAAAGAAACAATATAATGTTTTACAGAATCAGAGACTGATGAGAGTCCAGGCAAAAGAGGAAGGTTGTCTGAGCTATGTTGCATTTAACAGAGGTATGGGTACATGGAGGTAGCACTGTATAGAAGGGAATATTCTGTATGCATTACATCAGGGAGCTAGGAAAGTCTTAAAGCTCTCTACGATGTAGAAAACTCTGAATGTATTGTATTTATTTTATAGTATTTATGTATTTCATGATCATTTGATTGAAAGCAGACTGTGTAGCCATGAACAGAGTTCATTCCTATGTTCAGATTAAAAAGGGCTCTTTGTATTTGGTCTTGCCCTAAGACCCACTTTATCATCACTGAGTACTTAGATAAGTGCAATGTGCTGCAGACCAAAAAGATTATGTTTTAAAGCAATCACAAGAGGTTTTAGTCGCTTCTGTTGAATAACATTTGCATAGAGCTGGCAAACTTGCCTTGCCAAAGGGTATTCTTTACCTCCGCAGACAGTGAAATTGTCTCAGTTTCGCTCCTGCCAGCAAGCAAAGCTGGCAAATCAAAGCAACACTCGGTTAAAATTCTTGGAAATGTAATCTGAACAGTTATAATTTTTTTCACAAAGTCTTTGTGCCTTTTTTTTAGACTGTAGATTAAATAGAACTGTTTAATTTTGCTATTTTAAGCCCATAACATAAATCACAGCATAATGGGTACTAATGGAGGTTCTTTTCCCGCAAGCCTTCTATACAATTCAGAGTGCTCCTCAAACAGCGGGGCTGGTGGTTACTGAGCACTTATATTAAGGGCACAGTTTTCCAGCGCTAGTGGAAACTTGATGATGATAATGCAGTGCATTCGGTGCAGGGACGTCTTTTGCTTCCCTCTTGCTAATGTACTTAAGAATGATGGTTGACTCTACCGGACAGCAAGCAGTCTGTATCCCATAGGAAATGTCCATTTGATGCTTTATCCCAAATGCAAATAGCATGTTTGAGGGAATTCTCAAGCTATGACAGACATTACCTGCCATGGTTAGTGAAAGCAAATACCTAGAGAGTATTACTCTGTCAAGCATAGATGAAAAAAAAAAAAGTAAAAAAAAAATATTTTCGGGAAAGAATGTGATCTTGCTGGTCCTCTAAGGGAAAGGAGATTCTTTTGGTGAATGTTCTTTATGTAGGATAATTTGGTTTCTTCAGAAGCAGCCTCCCTACGTGATGACACAGCAGCTAGGAAAGCATCGGATGCTCGTTCCTCTGGCTCTCTGGCATGTGCCACACGCGCTGTTTGTTTCTGGCTGGTTTAAAAAAAGTAGTGAGGAAAGGGTGTGTGGGAGGCGAAGGCTTTGTTGTGACTTTAGATGTGTGTCAGTTCTTTCCTGCAGCTGGAATGCTGTTTGTGCGCTGCTTGTGTGCTGTATTTTATTTAGGGATAGGTGATCCCTGGGACCATTGATCTATCAGAAAAAGAAGTGTAAGCACAGGGTCGAGTGTCCTGTCAGCAAATACGACAAGCCCCTAGACCAAAATCTGTGCCTGCCTGGCCTGAATCCTGACCTGAATTCTGTAGCTTTGGTCCATTCCTAATACTAAGATTATTTCTCTTTCCTCCCAGATGCTGCAGGATGGAGTCACAGCAGGGAGGGAGCAATTCACACTGTCTATTTTAGGCTGCCTTCGGTTATGGTATGATTCAAAGCACCTGAGTTTAGTAGCTCAGGATCTGTGCGTAGTAAATATAGACAGGTAGAGAAACCTCCGGGGACAATTCGGAGCCGCCAGCAAGATATCTAATATTAGACATGTGAATACATTCTGGAGGGCATTGCTCTGCGGTTTACCTTATGCACAATTTAGGTTGATCGTATATGTAAAAAAATCTATTCCTGGTTCCAGGTAATGTCAGAAAGCCCTTTCACACCCCTCCTTGGCCTGGTGATAGTGACCATGAGGTGCTGTTGGAAAGAGTAGCGTGTCCCTGTGATGGCAGAGTGTCAGTGCCCCAACTGCCTGCACTGGTGGTGACAAGTCCCTTGGAGGGTCAGGATGAGTATGGGACAGACACCGGGCAGATCCCCCTGCCTTTGCCAACCCTCCCCTCTGCTAGCACAAGCAGTCTGAACCTGCTCCCCTCCAACCCGAAATCAGCAGCGCTTCCTCCATCGCATCTCAGTAATCTGCTTATAGAAAATATCTGAATATCTAAGTGGAGATGCGAGAAGGGTGCAGGAGACGTGATTGATTACAGGGGCGGGCTGGGGCTGTGCTTGCACTGATGCATTAGAGGAGACGTACAGATCCCTGTTTTGTCTGTGCAGGGATTTTTTTTTTCTCTGTGCGAGACTCATCCAGCTGGCATGGGATGAGTCTTTGCATTAGAGATGCCCAAAATCCTGGGAAAGATTTGGCAGGTTACAGAGTCGTGGGTAACATGGAGCTGGCCCAACCGAAGCACTCAGCATCCCAAGCATCCATACCGCTCCTAATTTATCAAGGTGCTTTTGCCCATCCTTACTTTGCACAAGCAGCCAGTGGCACCCACCTCTATTGGGGCAGTGGCTTTCCTAC